GCGTGATACTGCGTGATACTGCGTGATACTGCGTGATACTGTGACACGCCCACCGGGGTATGCCGCGAAATACCTCACCCATTTTGAATGGCTGCATCTGTATGGGCCAAAATCTATACATGTTTTTAGGTACTATATAACATCAGTCCAGTTTATAAAAACATTGTCAAAAAATGCTACAGCTTTGGAAGCTGGTGGAAAATGGAATTTGGTACTGACAGGGGATTCTAATGAAGTTTGTACGGTCAGAAAAAAACATTGTGTATGTTGACTGCAGAGGCGGAATTCAGACTGACTAAAGAAAGCATAGACTTACAGCATAAGTTAATATAGCAGTAAATATTGAAACAGTGTTCACAGTTATCACAAGAATGTAGAGTTAATTTCAGAGCTTTAATTTTCCCCCATTTTGAAATATTGTATATGGTTTGTGACACTACTTAAGTGTTAAATGTTATATACCATATGATTCAAACATTTGAGAGGTTATGACATGTATAATAATTAACTGAATTTGATCATCTCTTACTTATGATTCTCTATCAATTTTCAACTTTTCAACAAAAAATCTGCACATCAGTTATAAAATGTTGTGCATTGAACCTTTGAGAAGCTAAAGATAAAGAAAATGTTATATTACTATAAGCACAATATCAGATGTATTCAGAAACTTGAGGACCTACCCCAAGGGTAACACTTCAGCCAGAAGAAAGCGCTTCAAGTGTTTGTCAAGATAAGATGGCTGTATAAATTAATAACGCAATGCTTAGAAGGGATCAGGTTTATCCATCAGAAATTCAAAAGAAATAAAAAAATATCAATAAAACATAAAAGAAGCCTCCAACCATGGAACATTTCTTAATGTCTCCAACTCCCTTGTCTATTAGAAATTTACTTGCATTATTCTACAAGCATTTGGCAGATAAAATTGGGAGTCAGTGCAGCTTTTAAGCAGTCATTAACAACACTTGGATTCATGCTACAATGTCATAAATAAAAGATGCTTTTTGACAAAAGGTCTTGTCACATTGGACTTTGCTCTGTATACAGAGTCAGCCTCAACAGCTTTCCACATTATCTTCTCTTACAATATGCTACTATGTTGGATTGCAGCTATACATGTTTTTTTAAAGGCCAGTAAACCTATTCTTTGGGCGTGATTTTTTTTTAAAAAAGGTCACTTTCTTTGGTGGGTAAAACACAAGTGAATCTTCTTCGGTTGCACAGGAGGTTTAGATTACATTTATAACTAATAGTGTACAGATGCATCTCTGCCAAGGAAAATGTCACCTACACTTTGTCAATGACATAATAAATACCAAAGTAAATACCAAAGAATAAATCCAGATCATTTACTGTACACTCAAAGTGGATCCTTATTTGATTCTTGTCTGGATCTTGCACATCCACTGAATTTATTTGATTCACAAAAAATACAGTAGTGACCAAAAGATACATAGGCATGGGTTAGTACAGACTGGAGATGATCGTCAGTAAGCTCATAAATACTATATGAATAGGCTTAGGCAGGATTTCTTTTTTGCTTTAGAAGATGTTTAGAAATTTTATTTTCAAGTGCAAACTTGTCAAGCACCAATGTCTGCTGTGACATACATAAGGCAAATGTAAATGTAAATGTCACGGGTCAACAAACATTCTGATCCAGAAGGAAGCTGTCCATCACACTGCCAGAAGCAAGAACCTGATTTTCTTTGTAGGTCTCCCATTCCAGTACTGACCAGACACAGCCTAACATAGCTTGTTAACAGTGATGCCATTACTCTACCTAGCGGGCACTGTCTTCAGCTATGATTTGATGCAGACTTTTTAACACTTAAAGTTAAACAAAGTATAGATGTTTTTTTAAACAAATGTGTTGCTGTTGTAAAAAATGTAGTTTCCTGACAAGTAATAAAATCTAGTATTTTACAGAGCAAAGGTGATAAAGCATATCAATTTACATTTTTTTTTTACAATAAGTGTTCTTCCTCCAATAAGTTCCTCCAATAAGTGTTTACAGTTTCTGTAAACTAACTTCTAAGACTATAAACATTAGTTTGTGTTCAGATAGCCATAAAAATGTTTGAATATGACATCTGCAAATAGTTCAAAGGGCTACAGGAACATGATCTTTTGTGTGTTAAATTTCAGTCTATTTTTGAGTGCAATCCTTCTCTCAGCTGGCTTACCCAGGTTAAATGCAGACCAGAAAGTGTCATGTCCAGCTGTAGGAAAAGCTTAGATCCCTTTATGAAAATGCTTAATTGGAAAATCGTATACAATTTAACTAACAGTTACAAAAAAACTATTTGATTATATTTTAAAGAAATTAGCAATCACAGTAAAGCTATTGATGATATTTAGATTTTAAAATAAAACTAATAAATTACATCTAATATATTAAACCTTTTATTCAGATTTTATAAACAATCATTTCCATCAATCAGTCACTTGAGAACAAATTACTGCAGCCATTTAAATTAAATACCACACTCATCAGTACAATAACAACATCTAATCCAGCATTCGAACCCATAACCTTTCATTTGCAATTCCACAGTCCTAACCACAACTCTACACTGCAGCTTTCTGATACTGTCTGCCTACATTCATCTTAAAATCAATTGATAAATTAAGATTTTAATTCTCTCAATCCAATATCTCCAATTTCCACTTCAAAGTCCTTGTCTCTCTACCACACAACATATCGTCTGAGAACAAATTGTCCACAAGATTATGATCTGCCTTCAGGGAAAGTATAAAATCCAGAAGAAATGCTAAACTATTTCAGGTAAATTAATAATTAACAAACAAAACCCCAAAAGCTGTTGGTGTGTGATCTTACATAGAATCATTAAGCTTCTAGTTTTGACAGCACCTGAGGATCATTGTTGTGAGCTACCAGTAGGAATCATCTAATTACACTCCAGGAAAGCTTTCATTTTTTTAAAAAAGACAAACACTAAGTTTCAAGTTCAAAAAAGTATTGAGAACTTCACCACTGAGCAATTCTCAATATTTGCAGAAATACATAAGTAATTTGTTAAAAAACATACTTTCTCACTCAAATCACTGATTTAGATGTAATATGAGGAGCTACCAATAAAATATATATTTGATCAGCAAAAAGGTAGAAACATAGTTCTACTAATAAAGTGTTAATTAGTATACATTATAATTAGTACACATACAAACAATCTAAAGGACTGATGCCTTGGTCAGACTTCAAATAATTTAGGCATCTAACAACTATTTTAATTTGTCCTGCTCAAAACGAAGTTTGCATTTTTCGTATATGTATCCTTCAAAATAATGTTAAATTAACTGACAAAATGATACACCAAAGCATACTCCAAGAAAATGATTGCTCTTTACCGCCTTATCATAATTTTTCAACTCACTGTACATGATTTAAAGTTACATTTACAATTTTCTTAGCAACCTCACAAAACATACCAACCTTCAAAACCATTGAACAATCAAGACCCCGTAACGACAGACTAGTCAAAGCTATAAAGGTCATGTTTGTTTAAAAATTGACTTTAAGTGATCGCATGCCATGTAACTTGACAATAGCAAAAAATTGTTTTGGAGACACAGATGAAATTAAAGTATAGGTCAGTGTCTGTTATCTGATATGTAAACCAATTATTTTTTTCAGAAGATAAAAAATATCGCTATTGTTGGTTTGATTATCTTTGAGACATTAATATAATGATGACACTTTTTGACTTTGTTGAAAGGCTATCAGTCTTTTATACTAAATATACTTATGCACTGTAGGATTCCACTAGAAATAAGACAAAAATCAATTCTGACAGAACTAAAAACCTAAGTCTTCAGGTCCTTTAACCTACATCAGACCCCCATTTGTTACCAGTACAGTACTGTGTTCAAAACAAGCTACTGACCAGTCTCTTTACTAGAAGAGATTCACATATGGCAAGCTTAATATACAATTTTTTCTCAACTAGAAAAAAATAACACAAATCAGGTACCTTCCTTATATCCTAGGATATAATAGATGCAACATAGCCCCATTAAAAACACTACAACTCCAATGGCTTTGCATTACACAAGTGACTTCTGTGGCCTTGCCCATACACATTACAGTTCTTTTTAAGCAAAATGCAGTGTTTAAAGTGTTTTTAGGCAAAATGTTTAGGATGGCTATTTGTTTTTGTTTTGTATTGTTTCTTATGTACTTAAGTAACTTTAAATACTTAGAAAGTATCAGGTCGTTAATGCATGGGAGAAGAAGGTACTATAGGATGTTTTCCAGATGCTACATTGCAATGCATGCATGCCTTGTTTTACCTTTAAAACAAGATTTTGGAGTAGTCGCATACAACATCAACAGCAGCTTAAGTACTTACTTGTAGTTGCACAGACCGATCACGTAGTCCTTCAACAATTGGATGGAACCTTGCAATGCTTCTCCGTTCCCCAGCAGTAGTTATAGCTTCAAGGACCTTTTCCAAACTAAGTTGAAAAACACATTTCATTACATATAAAGTCATACAATAAACAATGATTCATCTATTTTTCTTATTATTTTTTAACCACAGGAACAAGCCATAAAAATATCCACAAAGATGATGAATCTTGACTATATAATTTAATACACAAAAACATTTTTAATTGATTTATTATTTAGATATGAAACATTTTTATATGTCAAGGAAACTATAATATGATTAAAGGATATTTTCAGGAGTTGTCTTTGGGTTTGAAGAATAAATTTTGCCTATCTTTCTTCATTCAGGTTAAACAAGGCAACAGTATTCAAAAGTCAGGCAACTGAAAGCAAAATTTCATTGTAATTAAATTGTATTGCCTAAGATATGGTTATACAGATGCAGCCATTCAGAATGGACATTAAAACCTGTAAGCTACCTGCACTGTACCACAGTGTGATTCAGAATGTCGAATTTACATTTTTCAGTCCAGACAAGATTGATAGGTGGCACTTGTGGTGCCTATTGTGTTAGTGAAATGCTAGCTTCACCAAATCTGTTATACTACTTCATTAAATCCATTTGATATGAAATATTAATATGGATTAATGCAACTAAAGTGAAATGTTGGCACCTGAAAATAAAAATAACAGAAGTATAATGTTTAGTAGTAACAATATTAATTTATGAATATAACTATATATTTACAGTACTGTATAACACTGGCAGAAGGGGAAAATAAAAATTAAGGTACACAGTATTCCACCTTCTTCATAACATTTTTTTACATCAAATTCTATAACTTGGTCACTTGCTGTAGTTGTCTTGGAAAAGTTTTGACATACTCATTTCAACTTATTTCTTATATTTCTTTGCAGTGTAATGTAGGCTACACTATATTCTTATATTTGTTAATTAAAATACAATATGTTTAAATGTTTTTTTTCAGCTGGCTTTTTTTTAACATTAGTTACAAAGTCCGGATAGTTAATAACTACACCTGCAATTCAGCCAATGGGCCATTAGAATAACCTTTTTTTTAGTTGTTTTATTTGATAAAGACATCTCTAATGAGGTTCTAAGTGGGGAAGAGAGAAATCATAAAATTAATTACTCTTCATGCTTTTATAATTAATTTAATAAGCATTTTCATATATCCATAATTTATCTTGCATATTGTCATATTGTTAAGCAGTATTACTTAAATTAGCATTAAGACAAAATATAAAATATTTTAATGCATATGTAAACCTGAAAACAAAATCTTATTCACAACAGGCTGGGCAATAAAATATTGTTTTACATATCCAGCTAACTGAGTAATCTTACTTTATGAAACAGCCCCAGGATGCCACATTTACTACAGAAAGCTCTACACTATGCAAGTTCATCCATCCTAGTGCTACAGTTATGTTTAAAATTAATGTAATATTTAATCTACTGTGATATATATAATGAATAAAAATGTCAAAATAGTTTATATATTATATTTTACTATTAAAAGATTAGCTCAGAGGAGCCAGGCATTGGCCAGGAATCAGACCTAGGCATCCTGAGCAGCAGGGAAGAATTATACCACTGAACCACCACTGCGTCACTCTGATTGGAGGAGGACAGTCTTGAATCAGCTACATTGAAACTTACAGTACATAACCGCTAGTCATGCATCACTAGATCACTACTGGCCTGTATGTAATTAAAAATAATAATTCTGTTAAGTGTTATACAGTACTCTGACACTGTACGAGTGAAACTCGTTAATTAAACCATTTGTCACTACAGTACAGTATTAGCATATTGGTATTATCACAGAATTAGCAGGGAACCATTAATCAGTGAAAAAACATTTAAGTTTTATCATTAAAATAATTTCAATTACAGGCACACGCAGCTGCGGTACATTAAGGATTCACAGATTCACCTGGCAGTTTTACAGAGTACAGTTCTTGATCAGATTATTTGAAAAAATAAAAATTGCATTACATTGTGCTGTTCATCCTACTGCTGCACTTGTTGCAGTATTCCGCCCTTCACCTCATGTGTTTTAAATGGCTGCATCCATATACATAACTTCAATACATTAAAAAATATATACTCTTTCATATACGCTTTCATCTAATATGGAGAACTTCAACATATTCCTAGATTGCAAAAAAAAGCAGTGCACTTATTACAAAATATATGAACATATACTGACATGTTTTCTTCTCCCACAATACATATTGCAGACAGTAATTTGACCACATCTGTCATCATGCTTGGCTGTCGTGGGTCAATAGCTCTGGCCAGTAGGCATAGACTTTTCTGCTCTCCAAGGATTCGCTCCAGTCCATACTTTAAAAAAAAAAACATGTATATTTAATTTTAACAATAACATCCCATTTACTAATTAATGTAACACCAAGAGGATTAAGACTTTACAAGTATGACTAAAGCATGTCTCAAAGTACTTTTAATTCCATTAATGTTGGAGATAACAGGATTTTGATAATTATTCAAACAAGCCCATAAATCGTGCAACTGAAAATACCAAAAATAAGAGGCTCAAATATTAGGAAAAATATTAGCAGCTCAACAACTGAAGGTGTTCATTTGGGGGGCAGGTCGAGCCCTGTAGTACAGTAATCAGTAGATCACTACACAGTACTCTGTGCCATATTAGTACTTGACACTAACTGGTGCACATCCATCCTGTAGCAGTATTGGTGATTATGAATGAAAGGCTTAAAAGGAATAATTAACACCACTTCTCCAATTCTCCTATTTTTCTCAAATCTTTTAGTATTTAACCTTTGTATAATATTTTAAACTTTCTTTACATTATAACAACATTCAGTGCAAAGACAAAAAAAAATAGTAAAATGTGAAATTACATGATCACCTTCCACTTGGCTCCTCTTTCACCACCCCATAATATGATTTCATCCCACTATTCTGCACAATCATCTCTCCATTTGTTAACCACTGAGTAAGAAATGATTGAATAGGAAGGAGGGTTGTGCCTCCCTCAGACAACAGCGAAAGTGAAGGATTTTAAATAGATGCCCATTCATGAAGAGCTGGTGCAAGAGATCGAGCAAAGATGTTGAGATCGGTGCCCAGAATGACACTGTGTCAGGCTAATAAAAAACAATCACATCAGAAGTCATTATGTGGGTTTGGGCCAGGTGGATACTGCCCAGCTTTCAATCAGATATTTGTTTTGGATCAATTGGTGAGGGGGACGTATGCAGATGGGCAGTGTTTATGACAACTGATGGAACTGTTATGAAAAATAAATAGTGTTTTTTTATTTATTTCAAAACACGTGCATAATCACAGTGAATGCACTTTTTATACAACACCATTTATATAAGATTACTTTAAGAAAGACATATTAAAAAATAAACATTGACCAGGCAACTCCTAGTGAGGTCATTAAACCATACAGACAGGCAAGCAAGAACAGGAGGAAGCCAAGTACAGATATCAAGATCCATCATCATCATTTTCATCAGAGGCTTGTGATACGGGACACTAAAACCATATACCGTCCAGGTAATCTGAATGCAAAAATAGTAGTGGACTCTATTCTTTATCATACTGTATAAGAGAGCTTATTATCTTAATTGGAAATTAATATTTCCATTATTGTAGAATCTACAGGCTAAAAATCTCTTATTTTTAGTGATGCATTTTTACAATAAAGACATTGTTTTCCATTCATTTTATGAGCATTATTTAAAATTTCAAATATATGTCAATAAGGAAAAAACAAATGAATGTTGGAAACACAAAAAATATAGTACTCTGCTCAAACATGAAGGGTTATCTTTATTTTGTGAAAGACCAAAAAATAAAACCTTTCAGTCTGGAAAAAAATGGGGATTTATGTCAGAAATTATTTCAGTAAATTAATTCCATTTTTAAATGCCCCCCCCCCCCCCCCAAGCGTTTGCCTCATTACATCCTTGGTGCCCCTGAATTTTCATTCCCAGGACGATTTTTGACCTTTACTTCATACCTTGCTAGTCACAAACTGCAACTACACTTGAAATTGTATCTACAACATACTACAACAATAATGCCTCAATTAACAAGGCTGTTAATTGTTTTAACATCTAAAACACATGGTTACTTCGAAGTTTCTTGATTCAATTGTTTAGAAGACAGTAACAGCTGGTTATGAACACCTGGCAGTTAGTCACTCTAGACTGAATGAGTACCATAATGCAGACAAAATCCATGAAAGGTCTCAGTTTCATCTGTTACAAATAAGTAAACAAAAGACAACACCTGTTGTTATCCTGTATCATGTATTACCTTGAAGTGATAATCACGAAGCATCTGCTGATTTTCAGTGTTTACTGTAAACATCCTCTGCAAGTATACTTTTTTTCAAAAGTCCCAAATAATACAAGATCATTAAGTTGAAAATGTGTCCACTTCTAATGTAAGGAGTTACCACATCTAACCCATGAGGTTAAGCAAAAAAAAAACTGAGGTAAAATAATTGTAAGCTACAAATAAATTAAATACTTCAACATGCTTGTAAAAAGTACCCCATATTTGTGATTGATTTGCAAACGAAGCACTTCAAAGTAATTTAAGTAACTTAAATACTTCCTTAATATGCAGTACTGGTTTGATATCTAACACCACCGTAAATCTAACATGACTGAACCTCAGGATCCAAAGTATTACCTGAATCAATGACATAAAATATTCTAGGATGCTGGACCTACTGTGAATATTTAACAGGCTTGCAAAAGAGAATGTACAGGTATGACAGATTAATACTAGGAAACTGATAGCCAAACAATCGTTTCATAGTTTATCAGTTAAGCTCCCAGCAAAATACACTAAAATTAAGAATCATAATTTATGATAGGACTTTTTTCTCCTCATAGGATATTTTATATGAGGGAAGGCCATCACAATTATCTGCAAGATGAATATATACTCTGTATATTTTTACCGTAAAGGAAAGAAAATGAATCTCCAAATTAAAAATATTCTGTGCAGAATGCAGATTTTCCAGTATAATCAGCATTTATATGCTGAACTATAAAAATAACTAGGTAAACAGTTCATTTTGTTTTGGTTTACAACTTTATAGAAAGTGCAACTCAATTCACAAAACTTATCTCTATAGCTTACACTAAGAATTTTTTTGTGAGTGATATCTTACAAGATGGCAGCATCATCACAGATTGTTAAAGATGTAATCCTCTCTAGGTACACTTTCCATTTTAAACTTGACTTCAAAAAATAGTTAATAGCTTGATTTGAGTTTTGAATAAATATATACTTAAATACTACATTCTAATTAACAATGTCCTAAAAGCATGTAAAATTCATCAAAAGCGCTCAGCCAGTCATTGTCAATCGTTGTCAAAAACACCTATTTAATTGGAAAAAATATCAATGAAATGTTTCCACCTAAAATAAACCATAATTAAAAATGTCTGAATTCAAAATTACTATTTCTACATACAGTCTACTGCTAGGGAAATTATTTACATACTTTCACAATCTATGCCTAAACTAATTTGATCATGTGTGGACAAATCTTTGCACTATATGAATGACATTCTTCTGGACAGGTAAAATGACTAATTGTAATAGTGGTTACAGACATGCAGTTAACTATCTAGCCAAAAACTATCATTGTGCCTGGATGAGTGCAGTCATCTGAAATTCCATTTTCACAAAGATCAATAAGCCAATGTGATCCTGCAACTGTCTAAGGTCAATATGAACCCACCCAAGTGTACACAAGGCCTTAGTAGAAACATTAACAGCTCACTTGAAAAATTAAGTACCAACTAATCAAAGTCAGAATCAAGAAGCTTCTCAAAATGCAAGTTAAGCAAAGAAAGATTTACACTTTTTTATAAGCTGTTGCTTTAGTCAAAGAACACTTGTTTCAATCATATAAGCTAAATTTACTAAGCCTCCTTTGCTATTTCTATTGCTTTGTTTATAGTATACTATATAGCTTGTAATTTAGTTAAGCACAAATCCTTGAGTATACAATATTTAGATTCATTTGCAGCACTAAGCTAAAAACATAGAAAAGATTATTTCATTGTTTGATAACTGTCATGTGAATACTCTAGCACCAGATAACTTTATTCAGTTCGACATTCATTCAGCAGATTCTACTCAACATTTTTCAACAGTTTAAATTGTGAACAGTTTTCCACTCAACAGCCTTCACATTATAAATTGCACTACTGTACCTTATTGTTCATGAAGGCCTTCAAGCACTGTATGACTTTATGTTGACACTTCTTGTCAATCTTTTCTTGACTGAAAGAAAGAAGAAAAACATAGAATCAGGCATGATGAATGAAAAGTACAGTTTTTGAAATCTGATGTGGCATAGATAACGGAAGGTTATATTTTTGCAAGAGAAAGTAGTATTTACTGCTTTTTGTGAAGTAGTCTCTCCAGAGTGTCCAAAAGTAATCCCAAGCCTTCATGTCCAAAGTTCTGCACCCAGCTGTAAAACAAAGCATAATATATTAACACCAACTTAAACAAGGTCACTTCAAGGCTTCTTATGACATTCCAAACAAATAAATCATCTCAGCAACATTTAAAATTGGACATCAGTTCATAGGTGTAAGGGATCATCATGTTCTTTCTTCCTAGGTCTGATCTGCAGTCAGTTTGACTATATAACACTGCACTAGCACAACTTGAATAATATAAATGTGTAAATTCTGCTATATCATGAGTACTTTATATACCTTATATGACCTAAACCAGAATTTTACTTTAACTGCATTTTCTTTTTTCATCACACTGTCAGTACATTATATAAAATAAGACACTTCTTACACAGCAGTCCATACAAAACAAACACGTAAGTGGATTTTTCTATGAATTATCAATATTTTTTCCATAAATCCAGATTGATACTCAAATTTCAATTCAGAAAAATGATTCAAATTAAAGATGAGGTACTGTGAAACTCCAGATCAAAAGGTGTATAGAATGTTAATATATTCTACCTAATCACAAAGTGTGACAGAAATCCAGATTCACAGTGCATTATGTAAAGTGCACTAAATAATGACAGTGCACTAAATAAATTAAATAAGGTAAAAATGCCTTATCTTAGCTTTGAACTTTCTAATTACTTTTGAGAATTACATATTTCTGCCTTTTTTTAGAGAACCTGTGTCAAATGCTTTCTAAAAACGTTGTTTGAACTAAGTCTAAAAATACATACAGATGAGTAAAATTAAACAGTGGTATAAAGTTTACATAAAACACTTACGTTTTCATTCAGAATTAGAACACCAAAATATTTTTGTGCATGGGCTAAACATTCCTTTTCTTCCACTACAAATATGAGAAAGGATATGTGCACTGAATATCAATAAGCCTTATCGGGTAAATGTTTGTTAAACCCTATTTAATATCAGTAAAAGCAGACATTGGGAGATTAACTTTCCTTCCATAGTAATGACAGATCTCTAATGTTTATTTAAATCCACTGAAACAAATCTCTTTTCAAAATCTGTTTTTTTTTAGCTAGAAGCCTATAAAAATGTACATGAAATAAATTTGCAATTTTAGAAAGCTGGGAAAAGTGATAAACTGTCATTATTTATCAATAAAATACAGATTTTAGATACTTAATACAAGAAATGATTTTCCTATTTTTAAAAATATATATGTAAAGCAAATTTAAGCTAAGGCTAGGTTAAAAAAGTAACTATAATTTAGGATGACTGAACTGCCTCTTAATATCTTTTTGACTTCTAGAAGTTGCATTTTTTTAAGCTATGTGAGACGACAAAAGCGATGTAAGTGACCACGGAGCAATTTCACGACCACATTTTTCAAAATTGGAGTGACTATTATTCAATATGAAATTAAAGCAAAATCCAAACTTAGTTTAAAAAACGTTTACATGCATTTTTGAGAACACATTATGCAGAAAACAGGAAAGTCCTTTACTTAGATTAGGAAACTGGGTCAGAAAAACCTGTAACAGCCAGTAACAGCCTATAACATGATTGGACAAAACAGCAATGGTGTAGTGTATTAAAGTTAGATGAGAATGTTACAACATTTTGTAAAGAGAAAACACGTCCAAATTCTCAGAATGTTATGTTGTGACCAAAGTAAAACAACAATAGTCACAAAGTGAAGATCCGAAGTTGTGTTGCATGTACATAACATAAAAAAGGAGAAGGTGCATTTGTAAGAAGTGGCAAAACTCTGGACTCCTGACTGGAAGGTCATGAGTTCAAATCTCAGGGACACTGCTGCTACTATACTGGTCCAACAAGACACCGCTGTAAAAATTAGCAGAAAAATGTGTATGTAAAAAAATAGGTAAATGTAATCTCTCTGAGCAACTTTGGATAAAGGCTTTAGCCAAAGAAAATTAATAGTGGTTTTAGTGTGCCCTGAAGGAATTTAACAGATGGAAGCCCTCCCTAATACTAAACCAAGCCCTTTGAACATAAGAACATAAAAAGGGTACAAATGAGAGGAAGCCATTCTGCCCATCTGGCCCATTTTGATTGCTAGTTGCTAGGTGATTTGAGCAACTCATCCAGTTGTGTCTTGAAAGAAGCCAGAGTACTGGCTTCAACAACATTGCTGAGGAGCTTTTAACAGACTCCCACTTCTGTGTAAAAATCTGCCTCCTGTTCTCAGTTTTGAAATCATTTTCATTTATGTTCCAATTGTGTCCTATGGCTCATGTTTCACTGTTGATTTGGTTAAGTCCTTTGGGCTGATTTTGTCAATGCCTCTAAAGGTTTTAAATACTTGGTTCAGATTCCTTTATAGTCCTCTCCATTTAAGACTAAATAGTTTGAGTTCTTTTAACTTGCCAGCATAGGACAATCATTTAACTATTTATAATATGGGAACAGAATTTCACACAATCATCTAAATGAGGTCTAACTTTTGTTAACATCTATACTGTAATTCTACACTGTCAACTATACATTCTAATGTTAAACACAAAAGACACAAAAGAAAGTAACTTCTCCAAGCTCAGTGTTTCCTGATTTATATCCATACTTTGTAAATTACTGCTATTTGAACATAATGATCTGAGCTTAACTACGTTAAACATCACCTGCTATATATTTGCCCCGTTTTAAATTATCTGTATTTTTACCTTAATTTTCAGCTTCTACATCTGCAAATCTCACAGGCTTACTTATCATACCAAAATCTAAATAATTTAAATAGATTTCAAAGAGGTATGGTCCTAATACAGATCCCTAAGGTTTCCTTGAATTACATCACCCCCATAAGAGCATTCACCACTTGTTTGTATTCTGAATTAACTCAATAACTGGTTCTCAATCAAAACATATACCATCATTGAATGTCAACTACATGCAATTAATTTATTTTTTTATTTTAGGAGTACCATTATAAAAATCTCATGATTGTATACTACTGTATATACGTATTCATTACAGTTGTGGCTTGGTCAAAGAATCTGACTTTATGGATGGCACTTCATTAGGAATTTTCAAAGGGTATTACTTCCCATCTTCAGCAACTGTTGAAAAAATGTGTTAATGACCAATACATAGTATCTCTTATTTCCATAAGTACAATTGGTAGAATACCATCATGTATTGGAGATTTGTCAATCTTAAACTTTTTCAGTACTTCTGAAACCTTTGTTTTTCCATGCTCTTCATATCCCAAGATGTATTGTTGATATCTTTGGTAAAAACCTAAATTAAATAGCTTTTTGACCTAAAACATCAATCATTTCCTTTTTATTATTTGAAAGTTTCCTTTTATTGTTCCAAAAACGTATTCAATTTTTGTGACTGAAAAACTGAATACCAAACATCAAGTCTATGTATTTTAGCCTTCAATGCAATATCCTTTTCTTTCTGTTTGCCTATTATCTTTTTTCATCTCTGCTTGCAATTCACCATTCCTGTCGGCTATATCTCTAGTGAAATTATTCAATATAGAAAATTTAAGAAGGGATCTCAATTTCATCATTGGCTATAGATGGAGATATTGTTTAACAGATAGACAAGGGTGGACAGAGTGCAGATCTGAGACTTGTTTAAAAAATTGGTGGGGATGAAAAGCTAGAAACAGAGAGGGGCTCTTTATGGTGAATTGCACTGACATTGCAGCTTTCCATAATGCCCTCACCTTGTTAAAATAACCGTGGCCCAAGGCAAGATACGGAAAAGGATAAGGAAAGATGGAAAATTTTTTCTCAGTAAAAATAATTGGCCCTACTACATCTCTTGACAAAGGATTTACTTGTTGACTTGTAGCAGGAAACAGAAGGATTACAGGCCATGTGAGGCTTTTCTTTCTGGGGTGGTAAGGTCAAAAAGCAGTCAGAAGATGATGACAATAATACGTCTGGGTATCACACTCTCCATTAGCTCAAGGACATCATCCATTTAAACTTTATTTCACTTTTTTCTTTCAAAACATGATGATATTATAGTGAATAATTTCTATCTTCAATTTGGTTCATGTAATTTTGAAAAACACATTTTGATTAAATTGATGCTATTTTAAAACAAATGTAACAAAATGTACAATTCAAAAGTAAAAACTAAAGGAGGACGACAAACAGATTGACAAGGCCTAATATTTATATTTACAGAGAATGACATTTATAATTTGTTCACATTTTGTTTTTTTTAATTTATAGTGAACACTCATTCATTGATTCTATTGCACTTTGGCAAGCAGTATAATATTGAATCACCAAACTGCTATGTTTGAGATGTAAAACTATACATTGAAAAGAAAAAGTGAAGGAAATGTTCTTTTTAAATGCCAAACTTTATCATCAAACTATTATGTGAATATATTAATTGTAAAGTAAAAAGCACTAGTATAAATAGATTCTGCAACCAATTATCAATACACGTTTGTATGACATTCTAGAAGTATTTATAACCACTTAGTTGTAAAAAGATCTTGTTCAGCCAAAAGGAGGTCTGTCTTTCTTTTAATAGATGTCTTGGTACTCTTCATAGCTGTAAGCCAAACTTTTGATTGTTCTCTGCATTTTTACCATGATTCCACACTGTATATTAATTGACATTCTGTCTACGAACCGCAGAAATTTAAAAATGAATACATGGCCTGTCACAGCCTAAAGAAAAGTGATCTCTATATGTTACCCCCCTCTGAATACACAAAGTAAAATACGATGGACAATTCAAAAAAGGGAGCAAAACTTTGTATGATTTATTTTTCTTTTGGGTGGGGGGGGGTCCTGGTTTTTCCCTGGTATGTAAAGTGCATTTAGACAAAAAGTTTTTATGTTCACTACAGTTTAATCCAGAAACAAAGAGAATATACCATTGTACCTTTTAAAAGACAATCAACATCATTCATACATTGTATATTTAAAACATGACTGTGAAAAGTGGCAACGTGAGGCTAGTAATGGGTGTTAATCAATACTCAGAAATGAGTGAAAATATATACATGAAAATATCTTAGCATTAGAGGAAATCACCT